CAGATAACATTATTTTTGCCTGTTACTTTTTTTTTTTTTTTTGCAGAGTATGTTAAGCGCCGTCGCTGTTAGCGACTTTGCTGCCCCCAACGATGCGACGCCTCTCATAACATTTTAACTGTCGGCATTGTCGTTCGCTAAACGAAATAAATAAATAATTGGCAATAAAAATACAATTTGCACGATCATATAAGATTTTGTCGTGTAATTGGCTAACTAACTGAGCGAACACTGACGCCTTGTCTGACTGTCTGACGGACTGACTGACTGACGGACTGACGGACTGACTGGCTGGCGAATTGAGTGTGCGCCCGTTGCTGTTAACATGCATTTGGCATTTGTTAATCTAAGCTTTGCTCGCGTCTCGCCCCTCTCGCTCGCTCTTCAATACATTTAGGCTTATGCCGTTAATTAAATTTGATTCTCTTTATTTGCCTTTCGCGGCGCTTCAGCTTCCGCTATCTTCGCTGCGTCTGTTAACTATTATTGCATGCACTTCTGCTTTTCTCTTTTACTCGCTCTTTCTGTTCCGTTTGATTTTCGTTGCGCTGCCTCTGTCGCTGCCGCTGCTCGCTGCGCGCGCCTTCCTTTTAATTTGCTGCCTTTATGCTTTTGTTCTGATATGTGGCTGAGCGACGTTCACTTAATTGGCTGCCAATTTATTTTATTTGCGCGAAATTGCAGCGCAAACAGCAGCAGCAGCAGCAAAAGCAAACCGGGCAACAACAACAGCAGCAATTGTATAAAAACTAGGCAACATGTTGCGCTCCCACACGCAGTTCCAATTGCAGTTGCAGTTGCATTTGCCGCTCTCTGCTGTTGCTGCTGCCTGCCTGCCAATTAATACGCCGTTCTAATTTTTATGACATTATTAAGCAGCATCTCATGGCCATGATACTCGCAAGTTGTTCGCTCGGCTGGCGACATCTTCCCTGCCATTTATGTGCAGTTTACAAACTTAATTGTCGCAACGGCGACGCAGACGACGACGTTGACTGTGGCACAGCATGTTGCATATGCGAGATGCGGCACAAGTGTTGCCCCCAATTTCAAACAATTGTTCGCGAATTGCGCAATTACCAATTTTCTCAAGGCAAATTTGTCGCTGTTAAAATGTCCCGTTTGGCGTTTGTCAAATATGTTAATAAAAATGTTTTCTATTTTAAAGCACAGGGAAATTTGGTGCTGGCTCTGTTAAAATGTCCCGTTTTGCGCTTGTCAAATATGTTAATAACATTAATTGTCTCTGCTTTTTGATCAAAGGGAAATTGATCGCTGTTAAAATGTTCCGGTTTGTTACCAATGTTAATTAACATGTAAAAAGTTTACAATAATCAGAGTTTACATAGACTTAAAGTCCATAGCCGGACTCTAGTTAAAGTAGGTTTATTGCCAACCCTCGTTCGAAATTTTTGCCAGCAACATTAACGGCAGCGCGCGGCTGCCTCATCATCATCATCATTATTAACATCGTCATTATTATGATCATCATTGGCAACATGTTGCTCCCATTTATGTGTGAAGTTGTGCGCTCTACACGCCCAGTTCCTCCTCTTTGTCGTTCTCAACGTTCTTCGTTCTTTGTCTGCATTCCTTAGCAGCTTCATTAACAATGTTTGTTGTTGCTGTTGTTGTTGCTGTTGTTGTTGCTGTTGTTGCCCTTTTTGCCACATGTCTTTTGTTGTGTTTTTGCTACTGTGCCACACACTCGGAAGAAGACGAGACGAAGACGAAGGCCGCGCTTGCTGCAGGCCTTTCAGTTTTTGCCGTTGTCTCTTGTTGTTGTTGTTGCTGCTGTTGTTGTTGTTGCTGCTACTGTTGGCCACTTGCCACTTGTTGCGCCGGCAGCGAAGCGTCGTCGCTGCTGCTGTTGCTGCTGTTTTTATTAATAATTGGCTTCAATGAGTTCCATAATTGTTTTGCTTTGGGACTTTTAATGATCTCTTCGCCGTTGTGCTCGACGTTGTTGTTGTTGTTGCTGTTGTTGTTGTTGTCTCGCTTGTTGTTGTTGTTGTTTTAGGCTGGCCAAGTGCTAGTCATCAGTTTTGCAGCCTTGTCATTACCGGCAACTAAGTGAGCTGGCCATGCTGCATTGTGTGGCATGTCTTGGTTGACACTGAACGCTGCTTGTGCAGCAGATTGCGACAACAGCATAAATACACATATTTGCATGTAAATAAATTCCAACCAAATGCATTTACAGCACTTATTCACAACAGATTGCTGTAGTGTTCGATAAGGCGCAAGTATGTTAACTTTAACATTTGCCCGTACTCACAACGAACGCGCGCTCTCACTCGTTCTCACTCACCCACTCTTTGGGCAAAGGAGAGCAGCAGCAACAACAATTGCATGTTCCGTCGCGCGGCTAACATTGCCTTTTGCTGCCTCTGCTGCCTCTGCTGCTGCTGCTGCTGCTGCTGCCTCTGCTGCTGCTGCTGCTGTTGTTATTATTATTTTGTACAAGCAATTAAATGCCTGCTGCGCTAGGCTGCTCAACCTGCTGCTGCTACGCATGCCCTCTCGCTCTGACTTGTTTGCTTTGCGGAGCATACACGTACATATATACATATACATATATATATCCCGCTCCAGCGTCGCCTGGCGCGTTTTGTGGCGTGTTAATTAACTCAATTACGATTACTCGTCGACGGTGAATGTGGACGTTGCTGGCTGCACTTTTTGATAATTATAATATTTATAGCAGCCAGCCAGGCAGCCAGGCAGCCAGGCAGTCGGCCCAGTCATGGAACAAGGAAAGGAAATTTTCTTCATTGCCGACTTTTGCGTGTGTGTGCAGTAAAAGCGACAGCGGCGCGCTGGAAAAACTCTAATTAAAGCAACGACAACGGCAACAATAAGTGTGGCCATTTAATTTTATGACATTATCATGTGCAGTTATGTATGTACATATGTACATAAAGAATTTGTATGCACATATGCCGCTCTCTCTCGCTCTCTCTGTGTGTGTGTGTGTGCATGCGTGTTTAATGGCATATTGCGTGTCTTGGCAAAGGGTTGCCAAGCTAGCTGCTGCATTTAATTGCAGCCAAAGTCGCAACTCTTTTGCGGCATATCGCTCTGAGGCGCTTGATCTTGGGGCGTTTGGCAGCTTAGCGTCCCATCGTAAATGGCATTACGAAAATTATATGGCTTAGCTCAAAGTGAATGTGTGTGTGTGTGTGTGTGTGTGTGTGTGTGTGTGTACGCAGGGGGTGTGCGAAAATATGTGAAGCGCAGGCCAAACAATTAAAACCACCACGAAATAAAAAACAACAACAACAACAACAACAGCAACAAAATAAAAACAATACTAACATAGCTCGTAATGCGTGAAGGGTTGCGCTTTGATTTAATTACGCAAGCGATTTGCATGTGCCAGCGCACAGGGAGAGGGCGGGTGCTGTGTGTGTAGAGCGAAATGGCCGCAATCTATGCATGTGTGCATGTGCGTATGCCGAATGTAGAATTAAACACAAACATAATTTGTCAGGCAGGCAGGCAGGCAGGCAAGCGGGCAGGCACAAAAGCTAAACTCATTTGGGCCCATCTCTCTCTCCACTCTCCCACTCTCCCACTCTTCGCCGGCTCAGCATACTCCAGCACACTCTACACATCACTCTACACTCTTGCGCTCTCAAATGTCATTTACAATGTGCTCGACTCATCAACGTCAACAGAAACAGCAACAACAACAGCAACAGAGTCAACAGCAGCACAGCCGCTGCTGCCGCTGCCACTGCCGCAGTCGCTGTCGGCGTCGGCGTCTGCGTCTCAGGCAACGCTTTAAGTTGTCATGTTTTTGACAGTTTGTTTGCTAAATTGTTTTGTAACATGATTCAGACATAATGTTTTTATGTGTGTGCCTGTGTGTGTGTGTGTGTGTGTTTGTAGCTTTTTACAACAATAGAAAGAAACAGTTGACAACAACAAAAACATGCAACGCTTTGAAGCGTGCAACATGTTGTCCATTAGCAAAAAAGAAAAAACAACCAACAGCAGAGGGGCAGCTTGTGGGCAAAGGGAGAAGGGACCAAATAGCATGCCTAGATGCTCTAATATGTTATGCATATGGCAGCCACAAACAGAGTTGCCAGCTGTGCTGCACAATATGCTAATTAATGTGGCAACTCTGCTGTCAGTGCGCGCAGCCAAACTAGAAAACTTTCTACGTAAAGAAGACACATTCGAGCCAGCCGAGCCGTCTTTCTGTTGTCAGAATCCCTAGCCGGTTCGAATCCCTATATCTTATGGGTATCATTGATCGGTCGAAAAGTAAGTAAGTCCAATCACTATATTACAGAGTATAAAAGGCACGATCGTTCGTTATTTTCATCAAACTGGGCTCTTCTCATGTCTGGCAAATGTCTACAAGGACAATCAGACTACGGCGTACCGCAGATATTTCAGATTTCTGGCTTTATTCTGCATCTGGAAAACTCATAGCATGACATCTAAATTGGCCTTAACTATCTACTCTTGTTGTTGTTGTTGGGCCAGTTGTTGGAGCCGCGCTCCGTGATTGTGTTGCTTCCGCCGGGATGTGGGCCATGGCAAGATTAAGTGATTCGATTCTCTCGGCTAATGCAGCCTCCTCTGCTGGCCGAACAGCTGTGCCACTTCCCAGCTGCGCCGGCGGCTGGCCGCTCTCTTTTGCCGCTGCCGCCAAAGTGACAAATTGAAAAACCAATTCAAATCCAGCCCATAGGGGGCAATTGGTATGGGTATGGAAGTGGGGGTTGGGGGCAGGTACGGGGTTTAGATTTGTATTTACTTCAATTGAATCGGTTGCAAGTTCCAGCGTCGGGCCAAACTCATTTCCTCCACAAATTTGCGGCGACTTCCGCTCTCAGTTGGCAGCCGATTTGCAGTTGCCGCCGACAGCATTTGCTAATTTGCAATGCAAGCGACGACCCCCCCCCCCCCCCTCTCGGTCGGCGCCTCCTCCCCCCGATGCGCTCTTAAATCCTTCTCTTGCCCAAATGCTTGGCGCATAATAATTTTTCTGTTGATTTTTGCTCGTTTTTCTCATCGTCATCTTCGTCTACGTCTCCGTCTGCGTCTCCGTCTTCGTCTTCGTTTGCGTTTTCATGACATTTTCGTTTGTTGCTCTGCCAAATGCGAAAAAGTGGCAATTAATTTTGTCAGTGTTGCATTTAATGGGCCCACCTCTTTGCTGCACGGCAAGCAGGGGCTGTCAGGGGTTGCAGCGGGGCTGCAATGGGGGTTGCAGTGGGCGGCTGGGGCAGGGTGTGCTGTGTACTAGCTTGTATATACCTCTGTTATGTCAGCAGCTTGTTGTTGTCGATATTTAATTAATTTTCATTGAACTTTGCAGAAAATGCCACAAAGCTGCGTAATTTTTAACATTTCACACGCCCCAAAAAAACAAAAACAAAAACAAAAACTGATATCATACGAAATTTATTGCCAGCGCTGCGAACCAAACAAAAAAAAAAAATATCTAATAAAATCATAATAAAATAATAAAAAATAAAAACTGCTTTAAGCCACCTGGCTTTACAATCTACACATTCTCAACGTCACAGCGCACGCCCAAAAAAGCGAGAGAGAGAGAGAGAGAGAGAGAGAGAGAGAGAGAGAAGAGCAACAACAACAAGCTGAAGACGCCCCCCAGAAACGATATGCGACTGCCTAAGCACTCATGACATGCTCAGATATGATAGGCCGATAGTTCTATGAATCAAATTCTACCAAACTTTGTAGAAAAGGAAAATGTCAAGTTAAAAGCAAAGAGAAACTAAGAATATTTATGGCATTCCGAAGATTTAATACCCTTGCAGACATGGGCAAAAATGTGAGAATATGTTTAATGAAACACGAAAGATCCTTCCTTAAGCGCTTTATAATTTAGTGCAGCGATCTTGATAGGAGTGGCTCGCTAAGCAAAAAAAAAATTGCAAGCCTTTCTATGTAATTCTCATTTCTGTTTAGTTTGTGCCAAGTGGCAGCCCTGAAAAGCTAAGTATGTATCTACCTATTCGATCTGCACATTATATGGAACATAGCGCTCTTTAGTTGCAGATTTAAGATTAAGATTGAACAGAATGTTTAACATTGTTATTGTTATTAAACATTTAAGCATTAATGACAATAAACCGTAACTGTAAAAGTGCAACTCGCGCAGTGGCAGTAAGCCTTAAGCCCTTGACGCATTCTTACGTGTTCGTAAGGCTCGTTTTGCCAGTAAAATAAACAGAACGAAAAAAAACAAAAAGAAAACCCAAGTAGCGGCACATTTTTAAGCCTGCTGAAACCCACGCTGACAAGGTGCTCATAATTTGCGACTTAATTAGCCTTAAAAATATGCGCAAGGTTCATTTGTTGACTGATTAAAATGCCCGCTAGCTGGTATATTTGTAGCTTTTGTCGTTGTTTCGGTTTTATGACAGCACTTTGGCATAATAAACCAATAAAAAAAAAGCGCCGAAAGCAGACAAGATAGAAGCGGCGACAAGTGCCACAGTTAACAGCTAAGCCATAAACTTGCGCGCCGTTCTATGTGATTCTCACAATTCACAATTACTGATAGCGCCGCTCTATGCGCGTCTCAGGCTGTTCTGCTAAATATATTACGTTAATAATTTATAATTTCTCAACACTTTTAGCTATAAATTAAATTGCGCGCCGTTCTATGTGATTCTCACAATTGCTGATAGCTACGTTCTCGCGACTCAGTCTGCCTCAGTCTGTCTCAGTCTGTTATGTATAGATAAATATGTGTGTATGTAAAGTTATATTGTTTTTACCTGTTAAGCTTAAATGTATGGCAGATGAACGTTTAAATTTTGAAAACTTACCTAGAAAGAAACAGAAAAATAGGACATAATTAATAACGGCGTAATTATTGTTAGAAAAAGGCCGGTAAAAAAGCACCAAAATGCATATTTTTTTCTAATTTCAGATGTGTTCAATCAAAATTTAATTCAAAATCTGATTTAAAATTGATTTCAAAGGTGTTCGAAATAGATTTGGATATAGAGATGAAGTTTATTTACGTTGAACATTTGGAAAGCTTGTCAACTCTATGATTTACACATGTCAATGGTACAAATACATCCAAATCCATCAAAGGGGCGACAAAGTGGGATATACTTAAATGTTCACCATATAAATGTTATTTTGTTTTATTGGCTCCCAGCCAAATGCAACGGATATTCATTCACACTGACTTGAGCTCATTCATTCACAGTCACACACACACACACACACACACACACACACACACACACACACACACACACACACACACACACACACACACACACACTCGCACGCACACTTGTTCACAATCAATCAATCAAAAAATATCACCCACAAGAAATCTCAACCCAAACTCTGTTAGTTTCTTCTTACTCTCTTGCAGCTTCTCTCTCTTTCTCTCGCTCTCGCTCTTTACTACAGCTAAAAATAGCAATGTTTATTAATTTTAAGACAAGTACTAAAGCAACGCACATAAAAAGCGTACGAATATATAATTAAAAATAAACCCAATTGACCGAAATATGTGAGATTTGAGTTCGAAACGAAACTTGTCGCCGGCGTCGCTGCTAACGCCAGCAGCAGCAGCCGCAGCAGCAGCGACTGCACGCCGGCTAATTGGCATGCGGCTGACATATGTACGTACGTATGCGTATGTATGTAGCTCGTTCTCGCTCTAATATCGGTTTGTACTGCGCTCACTCTTTCGCGGCTAATCGTTTTGCGTTTGCGCGCGTTGTCATTTAAATTGTCTGGTTATTTCAATCTCTTTTCCCTCTATGCTAATCGCGCACATTGCTGCGGCATAACAGCTATGTTATTAGCTTTGCCCTGGTTCTGGCATTTAAGCTTCATGTTAAGAGTCGTAACTGTTATTGGGCATTTGTTCTGTGTGCGCCGCAGACAGCTGTTATTTGCATACTGTTAGGTCAATGTTGTTCATTAGCAGTTTCTGCAAACAACATAATACTGTTATGCTAATCGTTTGTTCAGAAAAATAAAGAGCATACAAATTGCGACTTTAAATTTTGTTTAGATTTTGCTTAATGTTTAACGTTTGGTTGAATTATATGTAATTAATAATCGAATACGCTGTCAGTGCTATTATTTGTTGTTATTTGTTTTTTGCTGTTAGCTTGGGTGCTTAGCATTTTGATTACTTATGCAAGTCAGATCGGGCCACATTTACATTAAACAAGGCAATAGCAAAATTTTATTAACAATAAATCAATTGCGAAGCGAACACAACAAACCGAAGGAATTTCAATTAAAATAAATATAATTAATAATAAGAAAAAGAATCGTGATTGCTCGCAGAGCATTGAACAAATGTTCAACAAAATGGGTATATATATATTTATACTATATATATATATATATATATATATATCAACACTAATTAGTTTGTTATTCTATTTAAATTAGACACACACACACAGTGGCGAGGGGGAGAGGGGCGGGCGACCTCTAGTGACGCTGTTAAATTTATGAGAGCGCAAATTGTCTCATTTCAGTGGAACTAATCGAATGAGAGGGCAGCAAATAAATAGGAAAAATAAAAATAAGCATGGAAATAAAGTTTATAATTAAAAATACACACAATAAGTAATAAAACGGCAAAAACGGCAACAACAAGAACAATTAAATTGTGCGCTTTGCGCTTTAATTGCATTTGCTGGCAGCGGCAACAATAATTATTAATTAACAATTAATGCACTTGGCGCAGTTGCAAAAAAAAAAAAAAAGAAAGCAATTGGCAAAAGAAATAAAATGAAAGCAACCGAGCAACTAAGAAAAAGGCGTTAATTAAAAAATATATTAAAGTCGGCGACGGCAGCAACGATTGCCGCACATTTAATTAAAATATATATATATGTAAGCATATAATTGCAACAACAACAACAGAAAACTAGCAAAAAAAAACATATATGATTAATAAATGAATAAAAACTACACTATATATATACAATGTGTCGTATGCGTCATTTGTAAACGGCTCGTGGAACAAAAAAATTAACATTAACATTTTACAGTATTTACACATATGTTAACATAAGAGCTCCAGCTGCGAACAATAACATGTGTACAACGAGCTTAACAGAACGGTTAGCAGCGGAGTACATAACATGGCGTTAAGGGTGAACTTTTTATAACAGTTCACCTGTATGGCATGTTATGCATTCTGCTGTTAAACGTTCTGTCAAGCTGCTACTTACATACTGCTTATAACATACTTGCATGTCATGGCGTTAACAGTAATATGTTATAATATATATAACTTCAATAAATGTTACGGTCTTTGGGCAATGAATGCTTATACAAAATATTACTTAGTATGCAAATGTAGCATTCAATTGTATTTGAAATGCTTACAGCACTTGTCAAGATAATTAATTGTCTATTGTCCCAATACAGATTACAATTTAAAACCGAGCTAAAAAACATATCAACATTGTGTGAGATTTAAGCTCGAAGTTAAAACCCATTTAAAGCTAAATCTATCTAATCGACTGTTTAAAGCTGTAGTTGTATATATTTCATCAGTTCTAATGTTAAATACTCTTGAAAAATATGCAGCTAATGTCATTGCGACTTAGCACACACTCGCACACAGAGCCTAATGACTTGCATTGTTGCATTGGGTGCGTCAAGTGATCTGCGGAGCTGCTGTAATTAGCATTACTTGTCACTTAAAAAGGTAAAAACGGGAGTCTGGCCTCGCCTCAGCTATGTGCAACGTGCAGCGTGCAGCGTGCAGCGTGCAACGTGCCCCATGCTGTTGACTTTGCTTGCAATGCTAATTAGAAGAAAAGCAAAAAAAAAAAAATAGAATAAAAAAAATAACAAACCAAAGAAATGTAAAAAGTCAAGTCTCAACGCCCACGCGTCGCTCTTGCGGCCTGCCCGTTGGCTTTACGTACGACATTTTGGCATTTCCCAGTTTTGATAATGCCCATGGCGTCTATATAGCTGCCATATAGCGTGCGCGCGTGTTAGTGTCAGCCATGGCCAGGCCATAAATCTAAAGCAGTCGCCTACTCGGCCTCGGCCACGGCCTCCTCCACCTGCTCCTGCTGCTGTTCCTTAGGCCTTGCCTGCTTGGGTGTCGCTGTGTTCACTCATAAGATGTGCCCCTGTTGCACGTTGCACGTTGCAAGTTGCCAGTACTTCGCTCTTCTTACTATATATTTCGCTGGTGTTTTTATGTATTTTTCATAACATAATTAACAAAAATTGAAACAAGCGCAGCGTCCACATTGGCTCCTCTCCATTGTGTTTTGCTTAGTTGTTTTGCTGGCCGCCCAGTTGGGGATTTGTTGGCCATTGTCGCAGCTCGCAGCTCGCAGCTCGCAGTTGCAGTTGCACATGGCAACTCCCCTTCTAGCCCGCCCCTCGCGCCCTGCCCAATGAAAATCTCCTCGTTTTGCTGACTTGCCTGCCCGGCTGCCTGGCTGCCTGGCTGCCTGCTTAGCTGCTGTGTGTCACTGAAGGAATTTTAATGATGACTACTTTTAGACATACACGCCTCTCCAATGCAACACCCCATCACCCCCCCCCCTTCCCCCTCTTACCCCTCCACTTAACCGACCCTCTCCTCGCGTGTCCCACTGCCCAGCCGCTTGGCCCCCTGTCACACTCTTTGGCACTCTCATGCGTGTGTGTGTGTAGGCTTCTAAAATGAAAAGTTTTTGCGCTTTGCCATTAAGCAACACTGTCCAACAGCATTCGGCGCACTATTCTGCCATCAATCATGATGTAAGACTCAATAATATTATTCAAAGTTAGTCAATCCAAACAGTTTGAAAATTTGCCAATACCAAAACCACGTAGATATACTTATATAAAAGGCTGATTGACTGATTGACTGATTGAAGCTCAAGCTAAATATTGTATCCCAGCTATGCTAGGCACGCTTTGACGTGGTTTTGGATAATTCCACACGCAATTGTGGAAAATTGGGGGACAACGTTTGTATTCAACTTTTTTTATTCACTTTCAGGTAACTACGCAAGAGTCTAACTCATTTTCAAAGATTGAAGGTTTAATGTATAATTATTCACGGATGGAAATGTTTAACATTCGATATGTTCAAATGATATATGATATATATATGATGCTTAAATGACACAGTTCGGCTACAGATTAACGTGCGCGTCTTCGCATATTGCTTATTTCAGCATTTGCTGCGACTCGAAGCACATGTTGCACAGTGTAATGATGAATATGTGTTAATACGTTGGTAGCTCTTTCTTATCCCATACCCAAGACCCAAGACCCAAGACCCAACGGCGACGATGACTTCGCTTTACAACTCAGTTTGCGGCCCGCAAATATTGACTTAATTGTAGTAATGATGCATGTTGCGCTATCTTATGGATAATGTTGTTGTTGTTGTTGCTGTACGTGTGGCTACAATAAATGCTAATGACTGCACTAAATGGCCCATTTGCGTTGCATTGTTTGCTGCCTTTTGGCATTCATTCATTGCAATTATCGAGTCGAGCGTCTCAGTTAAAGCCGCATTTGAGCTTGAGTCTTAGTTTCAGTTTTAGACGGAGTTTTAGTTCGCATTCAGTGCCGGCCTTTTGACGCAATTCTCTCGCAGCCGGCTGCAGTTGGCCGAGTTGTAATTAAAATACAAAAAAAAAAAAAATACAAAACAAAAAGAAGCAAAAAAAAAATACACCGCGTTGCAGCCAGACAGCCGCTGAGCCCGGCTAATTGGCAACTGGGTGCCCCAGTCAGTTGGCAGTTGCTGCCAATCCATGGCCTGCATCGATAATTGGCTAAACGCGAGCGTTCCGAGGGCAGAGAGCCGCCAGCCTCTTAGCCACAAACACCCCCCCCCTTCCCCACCCCTCCGAAACACCGTCAGCGCCCCTATCCGCCCAAAGGCAAGTGATGAGCCGCACATGCCGCCACGCTGATCCATT